CCAGGTTCAACCTGTCCATTCACACCCAGGCTCCGAAGTGAAGTAGTTTGTTTCCATGAAGGACTCTGCCTCAGAAACTCATTTCCCCAAACAGACCTTGGAGGAAAGAAAGCAAATGACTCCAGCACCATATCTCGCTGAAATCATGTATAATGCCACTGAAGAGGCCTTTGCCTAAATCTGCTTGCCCTCTTTTCTATCAATGTGCTCAATGCCTATGGCCTGCTAGATAACCCAACTAGATCCACACCTTCTCATATAATTACATAGTTGCATATCCTCCTCCAAATGTATGATTTGAGGCCCTGGGTGAGATGAGCAGCAGGGCCAGGACTAGACAGAAGAAGGAGCCATAAAAGCATTAGCTAAGGCAGCACTCACTCTGAGGGTCACAGTACCCTGTCCCACGGCATTTCACCAGCCTCTCTAGGCCCAGCATAGTTAGCCAGCCTTGGCACAAGAAAAGTCTTCAAGGAAATGGGAATGGGGAAGTTGAGGAAAGGAAGACTTGGAGAAGTGTCTACTATCCTCAAACATATGAAAGGAAATGGAGAATTAGTTAATGCTATTCTGGAAGACAAAGCTTGAGCTAATTTCAATTTCAAAAAAATTGCTACAGATCAGGGGCTGATGTTTATACAGCTGTGTCACTCATCCACACAGCTCTGAGTGTCTGTATTCTCACTGCTATGTGAGAAATAACTACACAAGCCAACTGACTGGTCTGAGGATGACAGCGATACAAAGTTACAGTGAGAACTGTAAACCGAAGCAGGACTAACTGGTCTAAAACCAGGACTCTGAAGTACAGCACCAAGTGCTCTGGGTCAAATTACAACACTCAGTCTGGAATACTATATTTTAGCAAAATCCCCTATCTGGGATGTTATGACTTGGGGAGGGGCATGCGTGAAAAAGGGGGAGGGGAGGGTGGAACTGAAAGGGGAGGAGGAAGGGGCTCATGGGAGGATACAAAGTAAATAAAGTGTAATTAATAAAAAAAAAAAATGGCCTCATGAAGAAATAGGAACAGACACTTGTAAGGAGTGTTGCCAAACCACACACTTCAGCTTCTGAGGCCACCATCCTGGAGCATCAAGAGTTAGGTTGATTACCCTAGCTCAAGAAAGTGTACAAATATTCATCCCCTCTGTGACCTATGATAGGGAAAGGACCCTGGAAGCTGGGGAGGGGGACAGACCGGTTTTTCAACCTCATTAACAATAGAAAATTACAGTGGACTTAGATTTCTACTCAGAACCGGGCAACAGGGCAGAATCCGGAATCCCTTTCTTGAGAACCTGACACCTGAGTACAATTCTAATCAGTTAGAATTATTAATCTCTGGAGGCAGGACCTGGTGTCCAGGTGACTTCAACAAACAGGCAGACGATGCATTGCTCTAGGAGACATGGCAAAGAAGGAGGGAAAGAATTAAGTGAGGTGTAATAATTTGCCCAAAACAGAGCATTAGGTGTAAAGCAAGAGGTCTAGTAATCTGAACGAACTGCATTTAAACATCTCTGGCCTCCTAAAGTTTTTAGTTAAGTTATAAACTCTTGTTTACTCTTTAGGACCATCAGATCCTTGACTACAGTGGTACCGCAGGTACTGCAGAGCCTGTTTGGTTGTGTTGCACACTCACACTCTTTCTAGTACGTGACCATAATAACCTCTAGAGAAGTTTGAGGTCAAGAGGTCAGAGTGAGCTACTTCTCGTTTCCTTGCTGCTAGTTATAATTCAACCGATTTTCAGGAAAAACGGATCAACAGGTGTACTCTTAAATAAATACCCAGTAGTGCGCTGGCAAAGCAATTTGTTTATCTGATTTATGAGATCAGTGAAGCTCTAACTGTCCTTTCGGGTGCTCCAGTACACCATGATTGGAATACTGAGGCAGGCCATGCCAGTGCGTGGAGTATGCCCTATGGGAGGAACATTCCATCAAAATCCAGCTCACTCACTATCCCTGATTTGAGATTAAACAGGCACCATGCTGACGTTCACCTATGGGTCCAAGAGATTCCCATCACCTGTTCAAACCTGGGGAACTGGAAAGTACCCTATAAACCGCTATAGTCAATCTGCACATTTAGGGTATTTGTAGTTTTATCAGTGAGGTCCATCTTTTGACGTGTACTATGCTTATTTAAACACTAGCCAAGAGTGGTGGTGCATGCCTTTAATCCCAGAACTTGTGCAGGGGCAGCAGATCTCTTTGAGTTCAAGGCCAGCCTTGTCAGCCTGAAATATACTGATGTCCACTACACTGAAGGACTTACGATTTGATAGTCAAAGAGCTGCTAAATTGGAGGGACTGTTTTCTTGGTATTCTCTTTCTGATGTCATTCAGAAATCTGAATGAGAAATACCTGCTTCCCACATCCTCCATTTACTCCAAAAGAAACATTTCAGGAGCTTCTCGTGGGACCTTCTTAGCACTCTGATTTAGTTTCTTAAGGAAGTTTGTATGGTTCTCACAATACAAACTATTTGGCATTGTAGTTCAGAGCTTGGGATTCAGAGCAGCGTGCCCTGCTTTGCTCTATTGTCTTCGCTGTCACATAGAAAATTCCGGGTCTCGATAAACAAACAAATAAATGAAAGATAAATTTAAAAAAATTAAATTTACTCATTTCACCAGTAAAGCTCCCTTTGGGTAATCAAAATGCTGTCGATGTTTCTGTTGTTATAGAGACATTCTGACTGAAGAACTTGTAGTTTCTAGTGTGGCCATTCAGCTAAGTTGGCTGACACATCAGCTTAGCATCTATAGAAGTAAAGCTTCGACTGAAAATACACTGTATCTCTCAGGCGGCAGTGTAAATTACAGCTAATTTAGCAGTGTCACTGTAGAGCACAGAAACCTTTTACTGCTCAACAGTTTGGGTCTTTTTTTCCCTATATGTCTGAAAGTGGTCTTCATGGCTAACAGAAGGGAATGTTTGTGTGTCTACAGAGTTACCTGGTTTATTTGGGAGACACAATGCTATTGATGGTGCTTCTAATGTACAGGCTTGTGACTGAATTCATTCCATAGCTTAGATTAAAGATGATCTCTTGCAAGCCAGCCTTGGCTCATTCCCAGGGCTACTACCATCAGTGAACTCACATACCTAAATGATGATGAATCAGTTTTTGCTCCGATTAATTGCTAGCTCACAAAGCACCTGTAACTCCCCTGACTTAAGGAAGCTGGATTGGTACTCAGCATTCTCTTCAGATGTTTTGTCCTTGTTTGTCATGTAAGCTGCACATAAGAAACACCTTAGCACACATTTCTGGAAACCAGTATAACCCATATTATGGTACATTTCATTCCTTGCAACAAATCTACATTTTTACAAATTCCTAGAAACAGATGTTCAATCTCCCCTATGATTAAATGGACATTTACTGAGTTGTCACTGGAAACCAAGGAAAGATGAGCACACACTTCCAAGCAATCGACAAGGTGCCTGTGCCTTGACAGACACTCAGCAAGTCCTAAGAGTGCACAACTAAAGAGAAGGGTGGAGTCAAAGCGTGGCCGCCGACTTTTCAGCCAGCTGTAATGGCATGGTCTCTGCTTAGAATACCACCAAATAAGCTCCCAAAATAGCTTTCAACATGGAATAAAAATAAAAACCAGGCCTTAACTCTAAGCCATACTGTATTGTGACAAAAGTCACAGGCAATAGCAGAGAAGAAGGAAACTTGGCCTTTCCATGTGGGCAACAAAGGCATGTGTACCAGGCCCACTGCTCTACGAAGAGGCAGAGTCTAGGTCACCTCCATGAGGCATCACTGCTTTCTTGAGTTGAACATGAGTGTCATCAGGATGAGCGAATTCTTCTCAGGGCTTCACTATGACTAACCTGGACTGGGGTGTGACCCAGGGGTAAAGCACTTGCCTGGCATGAAGCCCTGGGTTCCGTCCTTGGTACCCCCTAGACCATGGCAGATGAAAGCGAAGGATGAACATGAGGAGAAGGAGAAGGTTCCTTCCCCCAAACCACTGATAAGGAAAAGAAGTCAGACATGGGATCACAAATACTCAGTTTGTCGGTCGGCAGGGTCGTCCACTGACCTGGTATGAAGACCTAACCACTTTATCTCCTTCCTGCTGGGTTTTCATGCACACGGCAGGTGCTGATGAGGCCTAGCCCGGTAGAGAGCTCACCATGCTGCACAAACCAATGAACTCTGACAAAGAGCAAAAGGTTCAAGGCACGTCAGCCTCACCGAGAGTCATTACCGACTCAAAGTCCTTTGTGTGCACTAAAAGCCAGTGACAGGAAACTTAATATTTAATTCCTTGATTCTGTGTTGTTGTTGTTTTTTATTTTTTGTTTGTTTGTTTGTTTGTTTTAAGATTGCAACTGCACAGCAGGCAAGTGAAGTTTTCAATAGAAGAGGATAAACAAGATAAACTAATAGAACACTGGAGATTCATTTACATCTGTGACTTGATCACAAACATGCAGGAGAAAATTGGTGTGTATAGTAATAGAGACAGCAGAGCTGGGCTAGACAGCGGTGAGCCAAGGGTGAAACCCAGGGGGTGCCGGAGAACGCACTCACAACCTAAAATTCCTTTTGTTGCAATATTTTTAAAACTCAAAAATAATACGCAAAATACCACACACACACACAAAAAGAATTTTAACAAAGAATTACCAAGTCCAAGACATGAGTCCAAGACAGGAGAAAAATGACCAGTAATATTAATTTTGCCATTACAATTTTGATTCCAGGCTCATCATAGATCGGTTTGGGTCATTTAAATATTACATACAAATGTTGCTCATGGCAATTACTGGACGTTTTGGCGCTGAACATACTGCCAGCCTGGCAGGTCCTGGCTCAGCTCAGCTCAATCACCAGACTCTAGGGGTCAGGTCAGTTCCTAGAAGGGCGGGGGTAGGGGGTAGTGTTGGGGGCGGAACCCAGGCTGGAGATAGTCCCCAGGGTAGGGCTGGGAGTGTGTGAGAGCGGCTTGGCCTGGGGTACAGCCTACCTCGCTTGTTCTGGGAGCCATGCTTCTTGGCTAGGGCGAGCTCCCTCTGGATTCGGTTCTCCAGGTACTCCTGCTTCTTGGTCAGCATCTCCTCGGTCTCCCGGAGGCGGGCCAGTGCCTCCTGGGCGCTGGGAGCCGCGCGGGCCCGGGAGGAGCGGGTCCCTTTAAAGAATTTGCCCAACTTGCTCATGGCCGAGAAGTGGAGGGCGAGCGGCCCTGGGCACTGCGGACAGGTGAGCCCCACTCGGAGCCGACTTTGCTCCTGGAGTCAACAAGTTGTTTCGGCAGGTGACACCCACTCCAGGGCATTTCCTGGCCAGGCTCGGCCCCGCCCTCGGATAGCCACCCCGGAGGGGGCAGGGCGGCCGGCGCTACCGCCCTCTGGGGAGTCAGAGAGCAGAGAAAAGTTGGCCAGAGCGAGAGGCTTTATCTGCACTAGGAACACATCCAGGAGAGACTGCTGGAAAAAAAAAAAAAAAAAGGCTCAGCTCAGAGAAAAGCAAATCCACCACATTCCAAGGGTCTTTGGCCAAGCCTGAAAGACCTGAGTGCAGGTTGCCCACCTGGATATGCAAACTGCTTCTTTGAGAGTGTGACAGAGTTCACTGAGTTGCTGTCTCCCTTCTTGTGAACAAGAATGATTCCGTCATGTTCCTGAGTGTGTGTTAGGACACTGACCTCCCCCATCATGAAGGTGTGGGCACAGCAGAGGCTGGTCTCACTAGCTAGGTGGACCTCTGCCTTTGTACAGTCCAGCAGGCCGGTGTGTGCTTGATTGTGCTTTGGTATAGATGATCGTCACAAGACTTCAACTATGTGGAAGATGGTGGCCACCGCTTTTCTTAACCCTAGGGCTTTTGTATGTGCTTGGCGGTCACATTCACTTCTGTGATTAGGAATACCAAGCATACAGGATTGTTGTGTCTCTGAACTTTAAATGGGGCTACTCTAGCGTTTGGATCTTTGTCAGACACGTTTACATGGATATCCAAACAGAAAGTAGAAAATACCCTGGAGGAAACAAATCATCTTTATTCCATGGTCCTTCTGTCAGCCCCACCTCTAGGAGGGGTGAGCAGCATCTTTGGTCAGGTGCCAGAATACGACTCAAAGCCCTTTTGAAGGAAGTGTATTGCCAAGAAACGGCCCACAGCATTTAGTCTTTGCTCTGGTTTTCAAGGACTTCCCTTATATGCCACACTGCCATATTTGAACAGCATCATCAGAATCTATATGGGATCGTAAAAGCACACTACTGCTAAAGACATCATCTGTCATCTGTCAGTGACAGATTCACCTTTGATACCTAAGATATCAGTAAACCAATTTGTATGCCATCATGGCCAATTGATCCGTTTTTATCCAACATTGGTGTATCTAGCAGAAATTTTGCCAAAAAATAAACATTGAGATTTATTAGTATCACACAGAGAGAGAGAGGAGGAGGAATTTTCCATAATAGCCACAGGCTTATATCATATGGTACTGTCCATCTAAAGTTAGTAACATGCATTTCGCTCTAACTTGGAATGTATTCAAATGTAACCAGTATTTTTGTTAACTATCTAAAAGCTCCTAGAACATGTTTCCATACTTGTTTCCCTGATCACATTTTCTCATGCAGCTGTTCCCAGCTCTGGTCACTTGACCCCACCTTAATTGGGTGTGCTCTCTATCTGAGATGCTGGGAAATCAAGCTGGAACTTAACATCTTAAAGTTAGTGGTAAAGGTTGAAAGCTTTGAGCCCCAACTGTGCATCACGTACACAATGTGCAGTATCAACCATCCACAGGTAAACGTGACTAAATAGCTATTTCTACATGATTATTGTAAAAAACTTCAATAAAACAAAAATGCTACTAACTCATTCATGACTCCACAAAGGTACCTCTGTGAAGCTGCCTCAACACTACACTTTTTAGGATGGAAACAGTTTATTTTTCTCCAACCCATGAAGTCCTTTAGACTCAGTTGGTAGCTGGGTCAAATTCCCACAGCCAATCAAAGTGGAGGAGATGCTTCAGGCTTAACTCTTTCCTCTTTGGTCTCCCCAGCAGGTCTGGTGGTGTGCCCCTGTAGTCCAAGCAAGCTAACCTGGGCTAAATAGTAAGATTATGTTCTCTTCATTGTTTATACAACTCCCCCACCAAGTTAGTCCAGAAGAGAAATTCATTAAGTATTTGTTTAATTAAATAACATGAAATGAAGGGAAGAGGTTGTTATGAGGCCTTACAAGTAATAGATCCTATTGGGGGCTTACCCATGGAAAAGACTGATCCTTCTCTTAGCAGCCATGAATAGCCTGTAGCACTTCATCTGGAGTGAGGGTTTTCCAATTCCAATGGGCCAGCTCTAAATACATATATGTACAAGCAATACTAAATGGTCTCAGCAGCTGTGTTTGTGTGTGTGTTTATATACATAAATATATGTGTGTGTATGTGTGTTGTGTGTAAAATAAAATACATAGATAGATAGATAGATAGATAGATAGATAGATAGATAGATAGATAGATAGA